TCTGCAAACCTTCCTTCTTACGGTACTCTCTGTAAACCTAACCTAACCTAACACAGTACTCCTCTGTAAACCCTAACCCTAACCTAACACAGTACTCCTCTGTAAACCTAACCTAACCTCACATGCTCCTCTGTAAACCCAACCCCCTAACACGGTACTCCTCTGTAAGCCTAACCCAACCCTAACACGGTACTCTCTGTAAACCCTAACCTAACCCTAATTGCTCCTCTGTAAACCTAACCCCTAACACGGTACTCCTCTGTAAACCCTAACCCTAACCCTAACACGGTACTCCTCTGTAGCCTAACCTAACCTAACACGGTACTCCTCTGTAAACCTAACCTAACCTAACACGGTACTCCTCTGTAAACCTAACCCAACCTAACACAGTACTCCTCTGTAAACCCTAACTAACACGGTATCCTCTGTAAACCTAACTAACACGGTACTCCTCTGTAAACCTAACCTAACCTAACACGGTACTCCTCTGTAGCCTAACCCCACTCCCATAAACCTAACCTAACCTAACACGTGCTCTCTGTAAACCTAACCTAACCTAACACGGTACTCCTCTGTAAACCTAACCTAACACAGTACTCCTCTGTAAACCTAACCTAACCTAACACGGTACTCCTCTGTAAACCTAACCTAACACAGTACTCCTCTGTAAACCTAACCTAACCTAACACGGTACTCTCAAACCTAACTAACACAGTACTCCTCTGTAAGCCAACCTAACCTAACACGGTACTCCTCTGTAAACCTAACCTAACCTAACACGGTACTCCTCTGTAAACCTAACCCAACCCTAACATCGGTACTCCTCTGTAAACTAACCTAGCCTAACACGGTACTCCCTGTAACCCTAACCTAACACGGTACTCCTCTGTAAACCTAACCTAACCTAACACAGGCCTCCTCTGTAAGCCTAACTAACTCTTTACTCCTCTGTAAACAACCTAGCCTAACACGGTACTCCTCTGTAAGCCTACCTAACACGGTATCCTCTTTAAACCTAACCTAACTAACACAGTACTCCTCTGTAAGCCTAACCTAACCCTAACACGGCTCACTCTGTAAACCTAACCTAACCTAACACGGTACTCCTCTGTAAACCTAACCTAACCTAACACGGTACTCCTCTGTAAACCCTAACCTAACCCTAACACAGTACTCTCTGTAAACCTAACCCAACACGGCTCCTCTGTAAACCTAACCTAACCTAACACGGTATCCTCTGTAAGCCTAACCAACCTAACACTGTACTCCTCTGTAAACCTAACCAACCTAACACGGTACTCCTCTAACCTAACCTAACCCTAACACGGTACTCCTCTCTGTAAACCTAACTAACCTAACACGGTACTCCTCTGTCAAACCTAACCCAACCTAACACGGTACTCCTCTGTAAACCTAACCTAACACGGTACTCTCTGTAAACTAACCTAACACGGTACTCCTCCTCTGTAAACCTAACCTAACCTAACACGTTACTCTCTGTAAGCCCTAACCCTAACCTAACACGGTACTCCTCTGTAACCCTAACCCAACCTAACACGGTACTCCTCTGTAAACCTAACCTAACCTAACACGGTACTCCTCTATGCAAACCTAACCTAACACGGTACTCCTCTGTAAACTAACCTAACCTAACACACGGTACTCCTTAGCAAACCTAACCTAACACGGTACTCTCTGTAAGCCTAACCCTAACCTAACACGGTACTCTCTGTAAACCTAACCTAACCTAACACGGTACTCCTCTGTAAAGCCCTAACCTAACCCTAACACGGTACTCCTCTGTAAACCTAACCTAACCCTAACACGGTACTCCTCTGTAAACCTAACCCAACCCTAACACGGTACTCCTCTGTAAACCTAACCTAGCTAACACAGTACTCCTCTGTAAACCCTAACCTAACATACTCCTCTGTAAACCTAACCTAACTAACAGTACTCCTCTGTAAGCCTAACCTAACCTAACAGTACTCCTCTGTAAACCTAACCTAACCTAACACGGTACTCCTCTGTAAACCTAACCCAACCTAACACGGTACTCCTCTGTAAACCCTAACCTAACACAGTACTCCCTCTGTAAACCTAACCCCTAACACAGTACTCCTCTGTAAACCCTAACTTCCTAACACATTCCTCTCTAGTCTAACCTAACCTAACACAGTACTCCTCGTAAACCTAACCTAACCTAACACGGTACTCCTCTGTAAACCTAAACCTAACCCAACACAGTACTCCTCTGTAAACCTAACCTAACACGGTACTCCTCTGTAAACCCAACCTAACCTACACGGTACTCCTCTGTAAAAACCTAACCTAACACGGTACTCTCTGTAAACCTAACCTAACCTAACACGGTACTCCTCTGTAACCCTAACCTAACACAGCACTCTCTGTAAACCTCTACCTAACACGGTATCTCTGAAACCTAACTAACCTAACACGGTACTCCTCTGTAAACCTAACCCAACCTAACAGTACTCCTCTGTAAACCTAACCTAGCCTAACACGGTACTCCTCTGTAAACCTAACCTAACACGGTACTCCTCTGTAAACCTAACCTAACCTAACACGGTACTCCTCTCTAAGCCTAACCTAACCTAACACGGTACTCCTCTGTAAACCTAACCTAGCCTAACACGGTACTCCTCTGTAAACCTAACCTAACACGGTACTCCTTTGTAACCTAACTAACCTAACACGGTACTCCTCTGTAGCCTAACCTAACCTAACACGGTACTCCTCTGTAAACCTAACCTAACCTAACACGGTACTCCTCTGTAAACCTAACCTAACCTAACACGGTACTCCTCTGTAAACCCTAACCTAACCTAACACGGCTCCTCTGTAAACCTAACCTAACACAGTACTCCTCTGTAAACCTAACCTAACCTAACACGGTACTCCCTCTGTAAACCTAACCTAACCTAACACAGTACTCCTCTGTAAACCTAACCTAACCTAACACGTACTCCTCTGTAAGCCTAACCTAACCTAACACGGTACTCCTCTGTAAACCTAACCTAACCTAACACGGTACTCCTCTGTAAACCTAACCCAACTACGGTACTCCTCTGTAACTAACCTAACCTAACACAGTACTCCTCTGTAAACCTAACCTAACCTAACACTATTCATCTGTTCAATATCACGGATCTAACAGTATAAACACACACTACTGCGTCCTCATTACAGCGTTTGGATAAATGTAATGTGATTAACACACACACACACACACACACACACACACACACACACACACACACACACACACACACACACACACACTTATTTACTTACTTACTTACTCACTTTACTTCAAGCCCTTAAAATAGCGTGAGCTTGGTGGGAATCAGGGAGGTGGAATAATGTGAGGATGGGAAGGAGGGAGGGAGGAGGAGGAAGGAGGAAGGAAGGAGGAAGGAGGAGGAGGAGGGGAGGAGGAGGAGGAGGGAGGAGGAGGAGGAAGGAGGAGGAGGAGGAGCAACAGGCCATATATTACCAAGAAAACAATATCCACATCAGCATGTCTCGCCGCCTGGTGTGGTGATCACCAGAGGGGTGGGGTGCTTAGTGGCCGGGGAGGAGAAGGAAAGAGGGAGACGCCGGGGGATATGGGGAGGGCGAGGAAGGATGTGGGGATATTACTGTGAACACGGAGGTTATAAATATCTGAGAGAGAGAGAGAGAGAGAGAGAGATACGTCGTTATCTCTGCAACTCTTTTCGCCGAATCTCTTCCAGTGAGATTTTAATTATGTTCCTATCACGACCTCCACGCCTCCTGTATCCTACACGCCTCCTGTATCCTCCACGCCTCCTGCATCTTCCCATGCCTCATGTATCCTCCACGCCTCCTGTATCCTCCACGCCTCCTGTATCTTCCATCCTCATCCCTCCCGTCTCCTGTATCTTCCATGCCTCCTGTATCTTCCATGCCTCATGTATCCTCGTCTCCTGATCTTCCATGCCTCATGTATCTCCACCTCCCTATATCTTCCATGCCTCATGTATCCTCCACGTCTCCCTGTATCTTCCACCTCCCTATATCTTCCATGCCTCATATCCTCCACGCCTCCTGTATCTTCCATGCCTCCTGTATCTTCCACGCCTCCTGTATCTTCCATGCCTCATGTATCCTCCACGTCTCCTGTATCTTCCACGCCTCCTGTCTTCCATGCTCATGTATCCTCCACGTCTCCTGCATCTTCCATGCCTCATGTATCCTCCCTCCTGTATCTTCCATGCCTCCTGTGTCCACCCACGTCTCTGTATCTTCCACGCCTCCCCTGTATCCCATGCCTCCTGTGTCCCCCACGCCTCCTGTGTCCTCCCCACGCCTCATGTATCCTCCACGCCTCCTGTATCTCCCATGCCTGTGTCCTCCACGTCTCCTGTATCTTCCACGCCTCATGTATCCTCCACGCCTCCTGTATCTCCCTATGCCTCCTGTGTCCCTCCACGCCTCCTGTGTCCCTCCATGCCTCCTGTGTTCTCCCACGTCTCCTGTATCTTCCACGCCTCCCTGTATCTCCCATGCCTCCTGTGTCCTCCACCCCTCCTGTGTCCTCCACGCCTCCTGTGTCCTCCACGCCTCCTGTGCCCTCCTCCACGCCTCCCTGTCCTCCACGCCTCCTGTATCTTCCATGCCTCATGTATCCTCCACGTCTCCTGTATCTTCCATGCCTCATGTATCCTCCACGTCTCCTGTATCTTCCACGCCTCCTGTATCTCCCATGCCTCCTGTGTCCTCCCACGCCTCCTGTGTCCTCCACGCCTCCTGTGTCCTCCCGCCTCCTGTATCTCCCATGCCTCCTGTGTCCTCCACGCCTCCCTGTCCTCCACCTCCTGTGTCCTCCACGTCTCCTGTATCTTCCATGCCTCCTGTGTCTTCCACGCCTCCTGTATCTCCCACGCCTCCTGTGTCCTCCATGCCTCCTGTGTCCTCCACGCCTCCTGTGTCCTCCCACGTCTCCTGTATCTTCCATGCCTCCTGTGTCTTCTACGCCTCCTGTATCTCCCACGCCTCCTGTGTCCTCCATGCCTCCTGCTATCCTCCACGCCTCCTGTATCCTCCCGCCTCCTGTATCTCCCATGCCTCCTGAGTCCTCCCCACGCCTCCCTGTATCCTCCCACACGCCTCCTGTATCCTCCCACGCCTCCCTGTATCCTCCACGCCTCCTGTGTCCTCCACGCCTCCTGTATCTCCCATGCCTCCTGTCTTCCATGCCTCCTGTGTCCTCCACGCCTCTGTCCTCCACGCCTCCTGTATCTCCCATGCCTCCTGAGTCCTCCACGCCTCCCTGAGTCCTCCACGCCTCCTGCCATCCTCACGCCTCCTGTATCCCTCCATGCCTCGTGTATCCTCCATGCCTCCCTGTGTCCTCCCCGCCTCCTGTATCCTCCACGCCTCCTGTCCTCCCGCCTCCTGTATCCTCCACGCCTCCTGTATCCTCCGCCTCCTGAGTTCTCCCACGCCTCCTGTATCCTCCCGCCTCCTGTATCTCCCATGCCTCCCTGCTATCTTCCATGCCTCCTGTGTCCTCCACGCCTCCCTGTATCCTCCACGCCTCCTGCATCCTCCACGCCTCCTGTATCCTCCACGCCTCCTGTGTCCTCCACGCCTCCTGTATCTCCCATGCCTCGTGTATCCTCCACGCCTCCTGTGTCCTCCCCACGCCTCCTGTATCTCCCCATGCCTCGTGTATCTCCCATGCCTCCTGTGTCTCCACGCCTCCTGAGTCCTCCACGCCTCCTGTATCCTCCACGCCTCCTGTCTCCCATGCCTCCTGTATCTTCCATGCCTCCTGTGTCCTCCCGCCTCCTGTATCCTCCACACCCCCTGTGTCCTCCACGCCTCCTGTATCTCCCATGCCTCGTGTATCCTCCATGCCTCCTGTGTCCTCCACGCCTCCCTGTGTCCTCCACGCCTCCTGTATCTCCCATGCCTCCTGTGTCCTCCACGCCTCCTGTGTCTTCCACGCCTTCTGTGTCCTCCCGCCTCCTGTGTCCTCCCACGCCTCCTGTCCCATGCCTCGTGTATCCTCCATGCCTCCTGTGTTCC